GTCGGGATGGGCGGCCGCAGCGCGGCGGGCCCGTGCACGGGTCCTCCCTGCGCGGCGAGGAGCCCCTCTCCTCTGCCCCCCGATAGCCACAGGGGACCTGGGGGCAAGGCACCCGAAAACCAAGACCGCCTAAAACTAAGACCACCCCAAAACCAAGTCCCCGACTCATAGGGTGAAGAAACGCCGAGAGTGAAGGTTCCCCAAGGGGCCCTCACCGCACTCCCGGTCCCGGCCCCCCGACGGTTCCAAATCTCTGCCTGAACCTTGAAAATCAAGGCTGTAGGCGGGCCGGGTTCACTGCATGTCGCGTCCCTTCTTGCACCGAATTTTCACGCTGAGGGAAAAAAATATATATATATGTACATATATACATATATATATATATATATACATGAGATATATATGTATATATATAATCGTAAAAGGGGGACAAACTATAGCAACGACTCTACATTCCGAATCCCTCCTCTCACGGGAAAAAATACATATATATGTATATGTGAGTCGAAGGAATTACCTTTACAGTGGCGACTCAGATTTCAGGTACCTACTTAAAAGCCCCTTTTACTTTTCCATCGTACGTACCTTGCACTCCTAAGCTCGAGACGGCAATGTTACCCTTAGATCGCGGGTAACTTTGTTGGTTTTCCTACCCCGCAGCTCCTCAACAATGAGCAGGGCTTTGCATTGAGGATGCTGCGGCGTGCCCTTCCTTTAAACGGATCGTAAAATGAGTTTCCTTCCCTCAGACAGGGAGTCCTGGTAAAGACAGCTTTTACTGCCTGCCTGGATTGCACATCATAAACTGGAAGGAGCACAATGGAATTGCCCCGGAAATTCTCCTTTCAATTATAGTTTGGTGCCCCGTGTACAAAGACTTTCTCACCAGTTAAAATGGTTCTCGGCGATATTTCGCACGGACCCTAAACTTTGCGTTTTGTAACCGCAGAACACCCCTCTCCCCCGCCGCTACCCCCCCCTCCCGCCCCGCGCACAGACACCCTTTGGGACTCTTTATGCCTGCTTATTGCAGCCCTATGAATATAGGTTACTGACAGGAGCAAATAAATTCTCTAAGGCTAGATCCCTGCGATATTCGTGCTCCGGCGTATGCAAATGTGCCCTGTATTTAGATACTTGCCAAGTGTTAGGCAGCTGAAAATGCAGTTATTATTCGCAGGCGCAAAGGAGGAATGTGGAGAAAGAGCCTTTCCTTCATTTCTTTATTACAATTCTCCAATATTAGGCAATATGCCTGCGGATGCAAAGCACAACGTGGGAATATTGCGGTGGAAAGGGGCTGCTAGAAAAGAATAAAGGCCCATGAAGCTAAACGAAAGCGAAGCAAACAAGACAACGACTACGGAGATCAAAGAGGCTGAAGTAGATGTCATTAGACCAATAAATTGCTCCTCTGGTGACAACATACCAAGATGCAAGAAGAAAGAAACAGCAAATATAACCAGTGTCTAGACTTAAATATTGATAAAGCAGGACTGAATGGAATAGCCAAGCGTTTCTATTTCGGCTCTCCTTTTCTGTTACTATATGCATGTTTATTTATTTATCCTTGTGCGTGTATATTCCCAGTACCTAGGAATATAGGTTTTGTTATCCAACGCTTTCAGCCCTTTCTGTCGCCTCGTTACATTTCTCTCTATATATATCCTTTATTCAATGAATAAACCTTACCCGGAGTCCTAGGCATGTGTTCCCACTACCTTTACTCCCTTGGTCCTCTACTTGTTCTTCAAACAACAGGATAACGCTTCCTCTGAAATAGACTATTAAATATCTAATTCTGCCGCATATACATGTAAATAAAAACTTTTCTGGGTCATCACGACTGAAAATTTGAACATGTTTTTGTCTTTGAGGAAATCATCAGCCAACACAAAAAGTCCCGTTTCGGTTATCGCAATATTCTAAAATGCTTTAAAAAGATTCCTCTGGAGAGGATTTTTCTTTTTATTTTTTTTCTTTACGTTTTTTTTCTTTTTCTTTTTTTTAATTATTATTAAATTTCGACGACTGCGCTTTGACTTCGGAGTTTTTCCGGGAAGTAAAAGGTGGTGATAAAATGCTGCTCGTAAATTATAAGCGACCTGGGAGCACTACAAGATTATGGTTTGTGTGCGAAGCAGTATCTTGATGTGGCTGATACACAGGATTTTGTTGTTTTGAAATCTCTGCTCGCCGTAATTTAGCCACAAGTATAATGGAACAAACTGTGCCAAGTTATTACTTAGCATGACGAGGCATAAGCACTTTTTAATCACAATATTATTTTACTGCCCAAGGAAAAATAAAAATTAATCATAACACGTTTAACAATGCTATTGTAGACAAACATTTGATAGCGAGGCGCTTATTAGAAAGCAGGGAGTGGCAGTGCAATTTATCCCTAGAAAGAATTCAATCTTTGAAACGATGTGTGGAAAAGAAAATAGCACAGTGTTCACATTCCTGCCCGATGCAGAATTTCGATGCAAAGAAATTGGCTTTGGTTTAAGGAAATGTAAATAAAGCAAAGAGAAAGTAGTTCTGTTCCAGAGCGCTATGAAGCAATTTATTTACGTGTCTGGCTTTTACTTGAAAAATATAAAGTTCGTACTTCAGACCACATTTTATGCCTTCTTTCCCCTTCCTTTTATTTCTCTTCCAATTACTCCCAATTCCTTGGTCCCTGTCTCTCCATTTTTTTCCCAGCTAACTCCGAAAATACTCCACCGTGCCCCTATAAACATTCTCAAAGACGCAAAATTCCAGAATTCGGGGAAGCCAAACTGAATTTATATATATTATATATATATGTATGTATGTATATGTATACCGCTCGGAGAAATGAAAATGAAAATAAAATACTGGAAGAAATTCCGAATGACTTTGAGAGACATGTCAAGTTTGCAGAGCATCAGGCTGCCAGCATCTGTACAATATAACTCCGGCGTGTCCCACAGAGCTGGAATTGCTGGGGACACAAGAGAAGCTTTTTATTTGTATCAAAGACAGCTGTTGCAGAATTTTACTCGACGGTAAATAATTCTCAAATGAAGATTTCTACTGGTGCCGTCTGCTGAGCCCTGCGCTCGGCGAGGTGGCTCTGCTTGGGAGTCCTGCGCTCGCGTCCGTCTGGCTTTACAGGCGAAGTCGCCCCCGCGCAGACCCTCCTGGGGGGATCTTTGGGGGACCCACCAAGTCTCGCCGAGCCGGCTGTGGTTATCCTGTCCTGCTGCCTTTTTTTTTTTTTTTTTTTTTTTTCCAGCTCTGAAATTTCCTCTTTCTGCAAATACTGCGTTTCTCACCAGGAGACCAGCACAGTGCCTGTGGGCGCAGAGGCTCACCGGGGAAGGGCGGATATTTTGGGAAAGGCAAAGATAAGCGGGCAGAGCGCCCAGGGCCGAGGCTGACTCCTTTCCCTGCTCCCTGCTGAGCAACGCCTGGGGTTTGGAGCAGAATAAACGCGGAGTTTGTTCCCCGAGCAAGCATCACCTTCACAAGGGCTGCCGCGCACCTCAGCGCACGCAACCCTAACCGCGACCCGGGGCGGGAGAAAGGGAGAAAAAGAGAAATAAAGAATAAATAAATAGAAATAAATGATTAAAATAAATAT